GCAGAACCTTGCTCATACCATTCAGTCTGGCCATCTGTCCCGGGAATCTCAATCAAGAACCATGTTTCCTGCGACCCAGCTTCAACCTGTCCAAAGCCTTCTCACAATGTTCTAGAGAATGGTTCTGACCTACCCACTGGGTTACATGGGAAGGGAAAGTGATAGTCACCTGGTGGTGGACCTGAATGTGAGTCATGACTACAGCACACACAGTTGGAAAATACCTGACAATGCAACCACCTGGGCATCTTCAGGGAATTGATCCCAGGAATGTCACAACCCTCAAGTGCTGAAAGCCCTTGAAGAGACGGTGCAGTGTTTGCACATAACCCACCTCATCCTCTCATAGCCTTTAACTCACTCTACATTACAATGCAGCTAATAGAAATGAAGGGTTTTAAAACGGTCAGTGTCCAGTGTTGTTTAGGGGACAATGCTAAGGAAAACCTCTACACGTTTGATATTGACCTACTTATGTTTTTAGGCCAAGTCACAATACGGAATCTTATGCAACAATGAGCTATCAACACACAGATAAGATCAAAGATATTTTATAAAACCTGAAGGAGGATCATGAGTTTGAGATTAACCTGGAAAAAGTAGGGCAACCTTGTTTCAAAAGCTAAATAAAAATAAATGGATACATGAATGATCCAGATGGGTGATCTGTTAATAACCAAGGGGTAACAGGAGGTTGGGATTGTTGCCACTGTATCAGCTCTCTAAATGGGAAGTAGAGTCGAAGATGTGAATTGATTATTAACAAACAAGTGGTAATTGAACATGAAATCTCCCCTGTGAAGACTGGTAAAGACGGTGCCATCGTCAGCTGCTTGAATGGTCCATGGCGTTTATAACTGATAAGCACTCCCTACCTACCCCACCTCCTGACCTGCCTCTCCTCCCCCTTGTTCCTGAACAAGGCAGGCTAATCCCTTGCTCTGGTAAAAGCAAAAAAAAATCTGTTGATGCCTCTGACATCTTTCTTTCTCTTTGGGAACAAAGAAGCATCAAAGAGGAAAGTTGTAAACCCTTGGCACACACCTTGACACCCCTGTCACCTTTCACACTCCAAGCACAGTGACCCACACAATTCCAACTTAATAAGGTAAGGACTCGACTGTTGATCTGAGCACCATCCATCACAATCAGCATCTCAGCTTTCATCCAGTGACCTTCCCACCTGAACCTACGGCCTAGAAGAAGTCCCTTGCTCCTCTCTCTGAGTGATCTCCAGGAGCAAATATGGGTCTAAACCCATAAGGCACAGGCCCTGTGTATGTCTCACCCGCATGAAGGAGTTGAGGAGGCCTCTTCTGTCCATCTGCAGGAGGTTCCCCAAGAGGGGCAGGGGACGCGGTCCTGGTGGGAGTTGACCATGGGCCTTTATGTGGCCCCTGACCAGGAGTAACAAAAAACCCATGAGGAGAGTGAGGAGGAGCAGGACACTGGGCTCCATGGTCCTGGTCTGACCACTGTGGACTTCACTGCACACTCCAACAGGACATTTTATGCTGAACCTGCCTCTCCGCCCAGTTGAGCAACTTCAACTGTTCCCGCCTCCTATCTCGTCATTGTCCAGGAGTGTGAGCAGCCATAGTCCCTGCTTGGGCTGCTGGTGACCTGCTCACTCTCTAGTCCATAGATGTTGCCAAGGACAATGAAACAGAACACAGGACAAAAGAACATTGGGAGTAATGCATCTTGATTTCTGGGGGTGAGTGTGCACTTGTCAGCTCAGTTTTGTCTGTTTATTTACTCAGGCATGGGCCTGTGTGTGCACTGCATATGTGAAGGGATATTTCTTATGTGAATGTGCATGTGTGTGCTTTTGTGTGTTCCTTTAGATGTGTGTGTGTGTGTGTGTGTGTGTGTGTGTGTGTGTGTGTGTGTGTTGTGGTGATGGTGGTGGTGGTGGTGGTATGTGTGTGTATTGGTTGTTTTTTCAAGATGGGATTTCTCTGTGCAGCTCTGGCTGCCCTGGAACCGATTCTGTAGACTGTACTGGCCTCAAACTCAAAGAACCTCCTCCTTTTGCCCCCTGAATATTGAGATTAAAGGTGTGGGCTATGACATGTCGCTCACAAATACATTCTTGCATTGTGGGGCTATTCTGTACATTCTTGATTTCACATGTGACTTGAGTGGAGTTCCCATTTCACTCTCTGGCCTGTGACAGCCGCAGATGGCAGAAAGTGGAGTGACAAGAGACCCAGTGGTGGTGAGGCTCAGCAGTCAGGTGGAGAGGGAGGCTGCAGCCTGGCCGAGGAGCAGTTGGAGCCTCCGGGTCTCTGATCACTGCGACTGGTGATCGCCTCCTCCTCCTGGCCGTCTCTCAGCACGTGGAGCTCTTTGACCTTCCCACTGACCCATCTCTCTCTGACAGTGTCTCTGTCCCCTGTAGACTCCGAGCTGCAGGATGCTGAGACTGTCTTACTCTTGTTTTCTGCTGAGGCAGAATACTAGAGACTGGGAAGTCATAATTAGTAGACATTTTAAATTTGTGTTTCTGGAAGCAGTTATTTCCAAGAACACCGCACTGATGTCTGGTGAGGCATTTGCTGCTGCACTATAACATGACATGGGGCAATCAAGTGTGCCTAAGACTGACAGAGCTAAAAAGGAGACTGAACACCCCTGTAGATGACCCGCTCCTGTGCTAATGACACCAATCCATTTACAAAATGCCATGGTTAGATGGGAGTGGGGGTGTCTCTGACCTTTTGCCTGCTCTTGTGACCTTTTCCCTCATACTAGGTTGCATTGTGCAGCCTTCATTTGATGGTTCTATCTAGTTTTTTTACATCTTGTTATGCCATGTTTGGTGATATCCCTGGGAGGCCTCCTTCTTTTCTGAAGCAAAATGGAGGATCAGTGGATCTATGGGAGAGGGTACATGTGGTAGGAGGAGAGGAAAGAGGGGAGGCTGTGGTCAGGATGTATTGTATGAGAGTAGAATAAATAAAAAGAAAAAAGAAAGAAAAGAATATGAAATATCTCCCACGACTCCATTTGTTTGAATGCTTGATCTTTAGTTAACAGTAGTTTTAGGATGTTCTCAGACTTGACAGAAAGAAGTAGGTTATTTGAGGAAACCTCTTCCTCACACCCTGTTCTCTCCCCTTCCCACCTGCCACATGATCCCACAGCAAACCTAGATGTCCAGCTGCCTTGCCTTCCTGCCTTGAAACTGACTCCAAATAAATCCTTCCTCATACTTGCTTCTGAGCAGATACTTAACCACAGTGACAAGGTAGCTAATGCAGGAAATCAGTACCAGGAGTGGGGTTGTTATGTGATGAAACTCACCATTTTGTTCCTAGGCTGAAATTCTTTAGTAGTTTAGGCTGCACTTTTGATATGGGAACTTACCACTGATCACATAACAGAGGCAGAGAAACAATAGAGGGACAGAGAGACAGACAGAGAAACAGATATAGACAGAAAGACTGAAATAATTCTACTCTCATACAGCATCTTATCTCTATCCAGAGATAGGAGACACAGAGGCAAAGACAGAGAAGCTGACTTGAACTGGAACAAGGGCCAAAAGGAAAGGATTTTTGACTGCCTTCCCTAACTCAAGTTCATCTAACCTGCTGGTGTGGCTGGAATTAAATCCAAATTCTTCTGGATTTCAACAGAGACTGAAAACCATCCGCTCTCCAGATGTCTTCCAGGACTGCAGCACCATGTGGGACAACTGAGGCTTACAGACTCTTGGATGGACAACTACCAAATTCTCAGCCTTTTCATTATGGGACAGTCATTGTTGCACCAGCTTGCCATAGCCTGTAAGCCAGTCTAATAAATACCATAGATGGATGCATAGGTGCTGTGGGATGATCTGTATGTCAAATTGCTCTGATTGGTCAATAAATAAAACACTGATTGGCCAGTGGCCAGGAAGGAAGTATAGGTGGGACTAACAGAGAGGAGAGAATTGAGAGAACAGGAAGGCGGAGGGAGACACTGCCAGCCGCCGCCATGACAATCAGCATGTGAAGACACCGGTAAGCCACGAGCCATGTGGCAAGGTATAGATTTATAGAAATGGATTAATTTAAGATATAAGAACAGTTAGCAAGAAGCCTGCCATGGCCATAGAGTTTATAAGCAATATAAGTCTCTGTGTTTACTTGGTTGGGTCTGAGCGGCTGTGGGACTGGTGGGTGACAGAGATTTGTCCTGACTGTGGGCCAGGCAGGAAAACTCTAGCTACACATAGGTATATATATGTACATGGATAGATGGATATATAGATGTATATATACATACATATAGATAGTAGATGGATGGATAAATAGATAGATGTAGATAGATGGATAGATGAATGGATGATAGATGATAGAAAAATAGACAGATAGATGTATATATATATATATATATATATATATATATATATATATACACATACATACATACAGATAGGTATATAGAGAGATAGTAAATAGATGGATGGATGGATAGATACATGTAGATAGATGGATAGATGTAGATAGATAGATAGATGGATAGATAATAGACAAATAGATAGATGGATAGAAGGATGATAGATGATAGATAAATAGATGGACAGATAGATGCATATATATATATACATACAGATAGATATATAGATAGTAGATGGATAAATAGGTAGATGTAGATAAATGATAGATAGATAGATAGATAGATAGATAGATAGATAGATAGATAGATAGATACATAGATACATAGATACATAGGTAGATAGGCAGGCAGACTGATTGATCCTGTCAGTCCTGTTCCTTTAGAGAACCCTGACTAATAAAGGTATTGGTGTGATTCTTGTGAGACACATAAGGGAACATGAGGTTGGTGTTAAGAATCACACAGCTCAGGGACCATGGGCTGAGGAGGCCTCTGCTCAGAGAGTGGATGCTAAGAAGATCATGATAAAAGAACATGAATGTATGTGACTGTGGCCTGCAAAGTTCAGGAACCTAGATAATACTGTGTGAAGTAAAAGACACCAGACACAAAAGATCACACACTATGTGATTCTGTTGACATGAACCATACATATTAGGCAAGTCCAGAGACAAAGAATTCAACCATATACAGAGTTCATCAGCATAGATCATGGATCACCGGGAGCTGATATGTGGGGACTATGGCTGTTGGGAGTGACTTAGTATGAGATGTGGCCTCCAGAAGTCTCTCTGTTCATACTTCTAGAAAGACATTTGTTTGATTTCTCCAGTGTCATTCACAGGGCAGAAGAACACATCTCCAGCTTTGCAGAAGCTACAGGAAGGAGGAAGGAAGTGAGCAGTGACTGAGGGCCTGGATTCCAGCAGGTTTCTCAGAGGCAGAAAGATGGGGCCATTCTCAACAGGAGCGGGGAGACCTGGCCACCACAGCCCAGTCAGCGGGCCAAGAAGCAGATCTGGTATGTTGGGGGCACTTTGCCAAAGCCAATCTCCTTGGGACTGATGTCAATGTCCTCAGGAGCCACGGGACTGGACACAGAGAAGTTCTGGAGGATGGTGGTGAAGAAAAGGAACAATTCGTTGCGGGCAATGCCTTCACCAAAACAAATTCGCTTTCCTGTGGGCACAGAGGATGAGCCATGTGAGCCCCAAGGCAGTATACAACCTTCAGACTGTCCCATCCCTACACCCAGACAACTCGGCCCATTGCAAAGAGTTAAGAGTGAGTTTGACCTTCAACCTGCAATTTGAAAATATTAAGAGGTTCCAAAACATTAAAGAATTGGTGCAAGGGCCAGTGAGACTTCTTAGCATGGAAAGGAGCCTGCCGTCAACCCTGAGGACATGAGTTCAAACCCCTGGACCCATATGTTGCAAGGAGAGAACTAATACCCATAGTCTGTCCTTTGACATAAACACACACACACACACACACACACACACACACACACACACACACACACACACACACACCATAGCACACATGTATATGCATGCAAACATACACACAACAAATTAGTCATAAAATTCAAGACAAACTGTTGGTGGGTGTCTCATGGTCACTTCTGACAGATTTCTAGCTTTTGTTAGATTATGAGAGTCCTTCATTCCAGAACTGTAAGAACCCACTTAAGTAGGAGCAAAGTGTGTATGTGTACACATGTTTAATGTAACATCTTTAGTGTTCCCTCCTTTCTCATGTGAGGGATTGGTACCCATCTCATTGGCTGCCCTGAGGGTGAAGGTACCGTTTACAAAGACTTTTAGATTAACAACTGTATGTGTTAAGGGTCCTATATGAGCCAGACATGGAGGCACATGCCTGGAAGTACAGCACTTTGGAGATTGAGGCAGGAAGTTGATGGGATATGGAGCAAAACCTCTGTCTCTCCCCTTTCTCTGTCCTCTCTATCACTCATCCCCATTCACAGCTTTTCTCTTTCTCTCTGCTCCCTTTGCTTCTTCAGCTTGAGACCAAAGAAATTCAGCAAGTTCCTGAACACAATTGTTCATACAATTAAGAATGGGCAGGAGCACATGATAAGGAGTCTATGGAACCCACAGGATTCTCTGAGATATAAGGAGCCTAGGCACTGTATTAATTTCATAACTGTTGGATCTACTTGGTGAGCCCAGAAAAACCCTTTTGCATGTTGTACAGTAACTGCTCAGGAGAATTTCATACTTTGATGGAATGGATGCTACAGTTTTTTGTTAGGGCACAGGTGATGTATAGGATAGGAGGGAGCCATTGAAGGTGCTAGAAGCAGTTATTACTGGGTGGAGCTAGAAACGCTCCGTGCTTGCTATGTGGGTTAGCCCTTCCACTCTGGTCTTTCTTTGTGTCAAGAAATTTCTAAAATGGCTAATTGTAGGCCAAACTTGATAACACGTTCATCTTTTGCCACCTAAGAAGGCTGGGTGTTCTGGTACATGCCTCTAAAGGTTGAATTGGGATGATTGTAAATTCAAGAATAGTTTAGGCAACAGTCTGTGGCTTGTCTCTAAAAGAAAAATGAATAAGAAACAAACATCCTCCTGTATATTGATAGTCATGATAAGTATGGTCCAGTGCGAGGGCGTCCTGGAAAAAGTTAGGGCAAAAGTCTAAAAGCCCAACCCTTCCCCAGGTGTTGCTGTGGCCCTAAAATTCTCCCTTACTTTGGTGTAGGAGGGATTTCCAAGCAACCCCTGTGTCCTCCAGTTGTTGGGAAATTGTGCCTGTGTGGGAGTATTTAGAGAAAACACCCTATCCCTTTGGGCACCTCCTTTCCAGAACTTAGGTGACATGAGCTTAAAAATGCATGGAGTATTTCTCTGAGATGGTTCTCTCAGAACTGGTTTTGTGACCCAGATTTTTCCAGAGCAGCTTTTAATGGCTGATCTCACTCTCAACACAATGTCCTTATGCCTGAAGCTGGTGATTTGGACACTGTTCATGTCTCTTTGGCTCTCTCTCTCTCTCTCTCTCTCTCTCTCTTTCTCCTTTCTTCCATTGGTGGACTACCTGACCCTGTTCCTATCACCTCTATTAGTCTTTTGATTTATTCCACCTACTTGTGACTTTCTAAATTCCCTAGATACCATCTTAGCCCCTCCCCTTTCTGTCTAAGGACACCTTGTCATGTGTTCCTTCTGTGTCTTCCCTCGTGTTCCTTTGTCTATTAAGTTGTGTCCCCTGCCCTTCCTTCTCTCCCCCTCCTCTCTTCCTGTCTTCCCCTTCACCTTTGGTTCCTCACCCTTCCTTCTCTCCCTCTTCCTCTCTTTCTGTCTTACTCCCTCACCTCTGGTTCCTCACCGTTCCTTCTCTCCCTCTTCCTCTCTTCCTGTCTTACCCCTTCACCTCTGGTTCCTTACCCTTCCTTCTCTCTCCTCTTCCTCTCTTTGGGTCTTACCCCTTCACCTCTGGTTCCTCACCCTTCCTTCTCTCCCCCTCCTCTCTTCCTGTCTTACTCCCTCACCTCTGGTTCCTCACCCTTCCTTCTCTCTCCTCTTCCTCTCTTTGGGTCTTCCCCCTTCACCTCTGGTTCCTCACACTTCTTCGCTGTCTCATGTCCACTCTCTGAATCCTTCCACATATCTCCTCCTATTGCAGCTTCCTTGTGTCCTCTGTGTGCCTCTCTTTATTGGGATCTGTTACAGCATCCTTACCACTGTACTGTTTATTTGCCTCTGTCCCTTTTCTCCACATCCCTGCCTTTCTAGACTTGGGACTGTTATATGGACAGTTCAGGAACCGGGCTGAGACCAGGGTCACTGAAGTCACTTGGACACTCAAGACTAGACAATTCTTAACTGAGACATGGCTCAGGGTGGGAGAAGGGGAGAACATTTGCCTAAAATCCCTCAGTGAGTGGAGGATGGTAGACAGGTTTAGCAGGAGAGCATCTTCTAGAATGCATCAAGGAGAGGTTGGAAGTGTGGGCTCATTCAAGAGAACTTGCTTAACACACACTCAGCCCTGGGTTCCATCCCTAGCATGGGTGGGGGCTCAACTAAAGGCTAAGAAATTATGTCTAGAACCTTTCTGCCTCCAAAAGATAAGAAACCTGAACACAAATTTTCCATGTTTATATCTCATAGTGTCCATTAAACTAAATTTGGCCAAAGGCAGCTTCTGTATATAACAAACCAACAAAACACAACAGGCAACCAACTACATACTAACTTGAGATTATATCTTCCAAATGAAGTAGAAGTCTCAGTCTCTCATAGCAGTTGACCCACCCCAGACTGCCAACTATTCCAGCATGGCCAAGTAAGGCAAAAGTAGAGCCGGCACCAATCAAGCTGTGTGTCCATGCACAGCTCCCTATTGTCTGTAGAAACCATGGAATGACTCTGATGGCTGCTGTAACTCTGAGCTTTCTTTGGTTCAGGATATTATCCATCATGAATGGTTTCCTTGGTCAAATAAATGTTAGTAATTTTCCTTTCTCTTACAATTGAACAAGACAAAGAGTATTTAATGCAAACAGACAACTGTGCCAGCACATGCCCCATCTCCCCAGTGCTCACAGATAAATACCTCCCTGGACCAAAGACCCTACCAAGCTCTTCCTCTGTCCCCCAAGACCCAATCCCCAGCCTTCATCCCAACTCTGCAACAAAGTACTTGCTGCCCCTGCCCCTCTTCGTATATCTCCTGTGGATCCCCCAGATCATCCCCAGAAGTCACCCCTAACTAATTCAAAGACCATTCCTGCCAAGGAAGCAGGTAAGCTCACAGATGATCCACACCTCTCCTTCTGCTTCTCCTGATCTACCCACATCCCAGTCTTATCCACAGCTCTGTAGCAGAATGCCTCCTGTGCTCTCCCTGTCCTCCCTGATCCCATACCCAATGAATCACAAAGATCCTCTCCTTCACCCTACCTTCCCCCAACTCATCCCATTATTCTTGCCTCCAAAACCAGCAGGCAGTCCTTGGGAACACACCAGTTGGGCAGACAAAGAAACAAGTCCACAGAAAATGTCCTCCTAGGCAACACACAGACATTATGCTCACCTAAAACCCAGAAAGGAAACAAAGACCAAGAAACAAAACACCCACTCAACACAGACAAACCCAGAAATCAGCACCTAGACCTATAATCACCCCAATCTGAGATTCCTGGATGCCAGCACAAAAACACAACCAGGAACAGCCAGGACAGTATGTCTTCACGAGAACCCAGCAACCTTACCACAGCTGGCCCTGAATATTCCAACACAGCTCAAGCCCAAGAAAAAGACCTTAAAAAAAGCCTTACAGAGATGATAGAGATCCTTAAAGAGGGAATGAATAAATCCCTTAAAGAAATCTAAAGAAATACAAACAGTGGGAGGAAATGAACTATTCAGGGCCTAAAAATGGAAATAGAATCAGTAACGAAAACTCAAAATGGGGGAATTCTGGAAATGGGAAATCTAGGAATTCAAACAGGAACTACATAGGCTAGCTTCACCACCAAAATACAAGAGATGGAAGAATCTCTGGCATTGAAGATATGATAGAAGAAATGGATACATTAGTCAAACAAAGTGTTCAATTAAAAAAAACTCTTGACAAAAAACATCCAGGGAATCTGGAATACTGTGAAAAGACCAAACCGAAGAATAATAGAAATAGAAGAAGGAGGAGAATCCTAGCTCAAAGGAACAGAAAATATTTTCAGCAAAAATCATAGAAGAAAATTTTCCTAACCTAAAAGAGATGTCTATAAAGGTACAAGAAGCATAGAGAACACCAAACAGATTGGACCACAAAAGAAACTCCCTTTAGCACATTATAATCAAAACACTAAATGTACAAAGAGAGAAAGAATATTAGAAGTTGCAAGGGAAAAAGACCAAGTAACATATAAAGGAAGATCTATTAGACTTCTCAATGGAGACTCTAAAAGTCAGAAGGGCCCAGACAGATGTGTCGCAGACTCCAAGGGACCACAGATGCCAGCCCAGACTACTATAACCAGCAAAACTTTCAATCACCATAGATAGAGAAAATAAAACATTCAAAGATGAAGTCAAATTTAAACACTATCTAAAAACCTAGCCCTAAAGAACGTGTTGGAAGCAAGACTCCAACCTGAAAATATTAACCACATACGTGAAAACACAGGGAATAAATAATTCAGACCAGCAAAATCAAAAGCAGGGAAACATAAGGAAGGCTTTTAAGGACCAGCCTTAAAGCCTTCTTTTTAGGGTTCAAAAGGTGATGCTATGATAAGCGAGGAAAACTAAGAGTCTGAGGTGAAGGAATGAATTTGCTCACACCACGTTCTTCCTGTGCATGTCTCTTTATTCTTCTGACTTTTAATTCTAATTCGCTTCCTACGTGTCTATAATTTCTTGGCTCTAATTCTCTGTTCTTATTCTAGTTCCTAATTCCTTAGCTTCTTCTTTCATCTAGCCTAAAATGTCTCCTCTACAAGTGGCTCAAAGCACCAGAAATAATTACAAGAGTTACCTCTCATTGGTCAAGAGCACATTCCTAGGGGAAGCAATAAGGAGCTGAGCCATTCACCATGGGAGCACACATTTTCAAGGTTTCAGGAGTAAGAGGGAAGGTCATAGTGCCCAAATGAGACAAACTTTGAGACATAGGTCTATTGTCAGCAGATTTGGCTGGAGAGGAATTGGCATGCTTTTCTTATAGTGCTTTGTGTTAGTAATCTTGGCACCTATGACTCTCACCTTGTGCATAACTGTAAAGTTTAAAATTTATAATCTATTTACAAAGGCCTTTAGTCTAGTTTGAACTTGCTCTGAGATAAAAATGAGCCAAATGTGTGCAATTTGTGTTAGACTGAGGAGAGATGGTTATTTTTGTTAGTGTGAGTACAAGGAACAAGGCAAGCTTTAAGTGTCTACAGTCTTGTGGAACAATTGACCTAGTTATGAAGCATATTCTGATATATTTTCTATATATCAAAATTGTACAGCTAATGAGGAGTCATCATCCTGACCATCCATATATATATACGATGAGATGTAATCATGAGATTACTTATACACATTACATGAAGATGTGTGGTAATAGAGAGATATGATAGCTGTAATTGCACAAGAAATCTACAACAAGAAACAGCCAATTCACTCAAAAGGAAATAATTCCGAAATGCCCTGTGTTTTGGTTTAATCCTCCATCAGAATCCTTGATTCTGGTGGGTTGACCATGTAAATGATGGCTGAATTCTCACTACATAATCCTGCAGGCTGCAACAGCTCATGATTGTGGCTCCTGACAGAAACACACACACCAACACCAACACCAAGCAAATGGACCTAAGAAATGAGCTAGTGTACTCATTTTACTATCTAACAAAATAGATTTCAAGTGGGACTTCATATAACTGAAAAGCTTTTGCAAGGCAAAAGACACCATTATTTGGACAAAGTGGCAGTCTGCAGAATGGGAAAGATTTTTTACAACTCCACATCCATTAGAGGACTAATATCCAAAAATATATAAAGAATTTAAGAAATTAGATATAAAAAACAGACAATTCAATTAAAAATGGGATACAGATTGAAACAGAATTCTCAATAGAGCAAACTCAAATGGCTAGGAAACACTTAAAGAAATGTTCAACACCCTAGCCATCAGGGAAATATAAATCAAAATGACTTTGAGATTCCATCTTATACCTGTCAGAATGGCTAGGATTAGTAACACAAGAAACAGCATATGCTCTCAAGGATGTGGAGTAAGGGAAACACTCCTCCATTGCTGGTGAGAGTGTAAACTTATACAGCCACTATGGAAATCGGTGTGCTGGTTCCTCAGAAAGTTAGGAATCGATTGACTTTAAGATACAGCGATACCACTCTTGAGTATATACCCAAGGGACATTTAATTCTACCGTAGGGACACTTTCTCAACCATGTTCATTGTTGCTCTATTCATAATAGCCGGAGTTGGAGCCAACCTACATGGCCCTCAACAGAAGGATAAAGAAAATGTGGTGTATTTATACAATGGAGTATTATCTAACTGCTTAAAAAATGGCAATACAAAATTTGCAGGCAAATAGATGGAACGAGAAAAAATCCTGAGTGAGAAAAACCCAGACCAAGACAGATAAACAAGGTATGTATTCACTTATATGTGGATATTAGCCATTAAGTACATGATAACCAAGCTACAATCCATAGACCCAGAAAGGTTAGGCATAGATGAAGGGACTAGGAGGGATATGTAGATCGCCATGGGAGGGGAAAGTAAAATAGATTTCGTGGGTGGACTAGGGGCATCAGAGGGGACAGGGATGCGAGGATCAGGTAGGGAAGAGAGGTGGGTTGGAGGGATAGAATGTGGGGAGAAACCGCTAGCATTGAGGAGCACTGAGTGGTGGTATGGATACCTAGTGCTGTGGAAACTTCCTAAACTATGTGAAGATGATCCTAATGAAGTCTCCAAGTAATGAGAGAGACATAGTCCCAACTGGTCATCTCTTGTCACTAAATGAAGCTTCTAGTACCGGGACTGGGTTACATTCTATTGAGTTGCTGGCCAAAGGGGTCGCATGGAAAACCACGAACAACCCACAGCTGTTGCTAAGATAATAGGTTGCTCCCCACAAACTGACAGCAGAGGCCCCATTTCTGAAGAGAACACCCACAGAATTCAATGAACTTGGAGACATTGAGCTGGTTGGTGCCCACGTATAGAACATTCACCCCCATGTTCTTGTGTCTTTGATATAGGAAGGTATTCTGCAGGCTAACAAAAGTGAAATGTATACACCAACCCAGCCACAAAATCTTTGATGAACAAAGCTGTCCTGCCTGCAAGATATGCTAGGGCTCAACAGTGGCACATTGTGGGAGTAACTATCCAATATCTGGTTTGAATATGCAACACTGCTTGGGTGACCATGAACCAGACACTACATAGCCAAGAGACATAGGATAAAACCAAATGCTATGGGTCCAAAAAAAAGTAACAATAAAGAGACACCAAAAGATACTCTGCTACACTCATAGATCAATGCCTTCCTCATTCAGCTGTTATTAGAGAATCTTCCTCCTGCAGCAGTTGGGAATAAATTCAGAGACCCACAGCCAGACGTTTCACACAGAGAGAAACCTTGGAACACATCGCTCAAAATGGAATGTCTTGATCCAAAGCATCCCATCAGAGTTCAGGGAACCTCAAGGGATAGGAGGAAGAGAGTATAAGAGCCAGAGGGGATGGAGGACACCAGGAGAACAAGGCCCTCTGAATCAACTGAGCAAGACTCATCTGAACTCACAGACTGAGACAGGCCTGTTTGAGTCTGCACCAGGTCCTCTGCGCATATATTACAAAATTCATTTTAGTGTTTTCATAGGATTCCTGAGTGTGTGAATGGGTGGGTCTCTGATTCTAGTGCCTTCTCTTGGGCTCTTTTCCTTCTGTGGGCTTGTATTGTACATCTTCGATGTGATGGTTTTTGTTTTATCTTGTCATGTTTGGTTGTTATCTCTTAGAAGCCCGTTATTTCTAATGAGAGGCAGAAAGGGGGTAGATCCGGAGAGGAGGGGTTGGTGGGGAGAGACTGGGAGAAGTAGAGGCAGGGAAAACTGTAATCAGTATATATTGTATGAGAAAGGAATCTTTTTTTTTCTTTTTTTTTTTTTTTTTTTTTTTTTTTTTTTTTTTTTTTTTTTTTTGGTTTTCGAGACAGGGTTTCTCTGTGTAGCTTTGCGCCTTTCCTGGAACTCACTTGGTAGTCCAGGCTGGCCTCGAACTCACAGAGATCCGCCTGGCTCTGCCTCCCGAGTGCTGGGATTAAAGGCGTGCGCCACCACCACCCGGCTAGGAATCTATTTTTAATAAAAGGGGAAAAAATAAAAATAAATAAACAGAAGTCTAACAGGAAAAGCAAAACTATTGCTGGATTTGGTGCAACTGAAAGGGAACCGATAGATTAAGTTGATCATCACACTCTCTAAAGGGGAGAAACTGTCTTCTTGTCTTTTGAGGACTTTACATGGGAATTACTGCATTGGCCTTAAAGACGTCTTGAACATCGTGACATGGGAATATCTGCACTCCCATCCTCTCTATTAATTAATCTGTTATTGTTGGGAGCAGAGGTAGAAACCTGGTTTTGCACTTAGAGAACATTTTGTTCTCTGTAAAGACACTTTGTTCTCCTTTTCCAGGCATTTAATCAGGATTAAAGACAAATGTTTTCACTCACTTTAAAAGGTTTTCCCCTCACAATGAAATAAGAAAGAAAATGGATTTGCTTGAGTTTAGAGGCTTTTAAATACCTCTCCAAAATCCTCCTGACCAAGATGCTCCCTTAGTTCAGCATTCCCCTCGTGGGACTGTAGACAGAGTGAAACAGGATGGTTCAGGCAAAGCAGCTGGGACAGAAACATGGTCCTGGTCCTGTCTGTGTCCAGGGGGGGATGAGCCTGCCCTCTAGGGTCTGGGAAAGGAAGCACAAGTGGGTCTCACCTATAGAGAAGGGCATAAAAGCTTCATTTTTCTTCAGAGCCCCATTGGCATCCAGGAAGTGGTCAGGATTGAAGGTGTCTGGTTGTTCAAAGTACCGTGGGTCATGAAGAGCTGAACTCAGGATGGGGTACACTTCAGTGTTCTAGGAGACATTATGCGACACAACGATATTAGCATACCCTGACTCCCATCTGCAAATTGTCAGTCCCTAAGACACAGAATTTAGGAAACCACAAACAGGCTGAGGTTAGTGATTAGGAAGATGGAGGGTGATCGTGGAGTAGAGATGTGGAATGGCAGCTGGTCTCACCTTGGGGAGCAGGTAACCTCGGAACAAAGTGTCTTTGGTGACTTTGTGTGGAACACCAATCGGGGCGAGATCTGAAAATCTCTGAATCTCATTGATGACAGCCTCAGTGTAAGGCATTTTGGTGCGATCGTCAAGTGTTGGTAGGCGGTGTGAGCCGATCACCTGATCGACCTCCTTTTGGACTTTCTCTGCACAGAAAAAGGAGACAATAGACAATGCCTACCCCCCTATCATGCAGGCAATGCACAGTGACCCTGTTTTTCTGCCAGCCAATAGCCTAGGAACAGTGCAGAGCAAGGAGACTCTGCTGAGAAAGACACAGTGCATTCTTGGGCATGCACACCTGTGCTTCCCTCAGACATCTGTCTCTCCAGCCACACTTAGATCTATATTAGAGTCTCTCTCAAAAGCTCCAACCTTGCTCATAAAAGAGAGAAACAGAAAATCTACAGCAAAGGGCTGTTTTTATCTATCAATCTGGAGTGAAGGCTGGAGAGGGAAATAGTAAGAATTTTCTCCTTTTGAAATGTAATGTTATATTTTGTATTACTGCATATCACTCATACACACACACACACAAATATACAAACACACAAAGAGTGACAGACAGACAGACAGACAGGCAGATGGACATCTTTGCACTGAATTAATGTTTAAAAATCCGGTGGGCTGGAGAGATGGCTTAGTGGATAAGAGCACTGGCTACTTTTGCAGAGGACCCAGGTTCAATTCCCAGCACCGACAAGGTGGCTCACACTTTCTGTGACTCCAGGTCCAGGGGATGTGACACCCTCACACAGACATATATGAAGGCAAAAAAAAAAAATGTACATTAGTAAAATAAATTTAAACATCCAGGCTAAGAATCTGAGGCTATATCCTCAGAAATAAAAGGAAGTAAATTAGTTTATGTAGAATTGAATACAAAATATGAATACGTTGGTAAGTATGTTGGCCGATAAAATAGCTCGATCAGTAAATGTGCTTGGTTTGCATCCTGACAGCCTAACGTTGACATGGGAAGGTGGAGGAGAGACTCAACTACACGGAGTTATCCTTCTACCTCCACACATGAGCAGACATACTCACAGTAACAGCAAATCATTTTGAAATTTTTAAAATGTGAGTGTGTGTAAGTCAACAAAGCAATGAATGAGTCAGTTAATAGAAGGAAAGACTGCTGAGTGAATGAAATGAGCGAACTAGAAACTGGATATAAATATTCCACTTTTTACTTTTTATATTAAACAATTAATGAATCAATAAATGATTTATAATGAAGTAATAAATAAATCAATGAGCACAACTAACCAATAATCAAGCAAATGTTAGGTTCAATAAAAGAATTTGTGAATGAATGAATGAGTAAATATAGGAATAAACAGGCAGGTGTATTGAATGATAAGTAAATCAGAGGTAAATGAGTGAGTTATTACATGCATACATAGAAGAATGATGGACACATGAACGGTAAGTTCAAAGGACAGTTGGAAGGCTTAAGAAATGAAAAGATTTGTATATGAATAAACCAATGTATCAACGACAGACAGTTCACTCATAAAATTCATGAGTTGATTAATTGAAATAAATGAATGAAATATTTGTCATTGGGTGAAGCAGAGATGAAAGAATCAAGGATTAATAATCTATAGATGTAGAGAAGATGTGCAGATGACTACATTTGTAGGTGAATAGGTGTGTAGCTGGGTGGATAGAAAAATGGATAAATGAATGGGTGGATAATAGATGGATGGGTAAATGAATAGAATGGGTAAATGGGAGAAGAGGTGGGTGGACAGGAAGATGAGTGAATGCATGGATGTAAAGACAGACGGAAAAAAGGAGGGAAGGGTGGATGGATGGATGGATCAACCTTTAAGTGATAACAGAAAATGGGCCAGCTGAGTGTTCATTCACACACTACCCACAGCACTGCCCTAGTTTTGAAGTAGATCAAAGCCTTCAGAGCTCCAGATGTAAGAGGCTCATGTCTCTCTCATCCACACAAACTTCCACAGACAAAAGGGAGCTAGATGATCCCCCAAATGGCAGCCTGTAATGCACCTGTAATATGGGGATATTTGAGCATGAGCAGGAAGCCATAGCGGAGCGTGGTGCTGGTGGTCTCAGTGCCAGCAAAGAAGAGAGACAGCACGGAGATCATGAGGTTCTGGTGATCGAACTCTGTATGTGGGTTGGACTTCTCCTGGTTTGAGACAGGAGAGAGGAGGGAGGGTCAGGGGTGACTGGGTCCTTACAGGAAGATGCTCACACATCCTGGGAACTGTCCTTCTGTCTCACACTGTATAAACCACGTGGCATTTCTCAGTCCTCGATAATGTCACTTGCTCTGTTTGTTCTGTCTCCTTCTCTCTCAACTTTGTTCTCTGTAGTTTATCATGTTTTGTCTCCCAGGCTCTTTCTTCCTCTGAGGTCTTTTCTGCTTTTTGTCCCTTGCCCTGTGTTTCTTCCACAGCCTTCTATATTCCTATTTCATTTTCCCCTCCCTTTCTCTAGCCTTCAATTTCTAGATTCTTCTGCATCTCCTCTACTCCACTTCCTATCTCTCCTCCCCATCCTCTGCCCCCCTTTTCCTCTGCTCACATCCCCAGCCTTCACTCTCACCCATCACTTCTCTCATTCATGCAGGACTTACCTTCTCCATGCATAGAAGGTAGGTATCGATGAAGTCTCTTGGATTGCTGGGGTCCAAGGTTGCCCTGTGCTTCTCCACACTCTGGCCAATGTAGTCGAGGACTTCCTGCATGTTTTTGAAGATTTGCTTGTGGGCACCAGGAAAGTACTTCAGAAAGCCAGAGAAGAGTTCAAACACCTGCAAGAAAGAAGGACCCAGGAGGTCGCCTGGATCTACCTGGTCACAAGAAGTGGACAGTGCTCTAACTTAGTCACTCTTCTATTGCTATGAAGAGACACCATGATTAAGGCAATTCTTACAAATAAAAGCATTTTTGAGAGCTTGCCTACAGTTTCAGAAGGTTAGTCCATTAGGAACCATGGCAGCAGGCAGGCAGGTGTTGGAGACTGACTCAGGACTCTTTGACCCAGGACTGTTATGTCTTGAGTTTTTCTGCTTTGTGGAGTCTTCCAAAAACAGGGCGTCCTTGGCCTAACTGCAAAATGTACGTTTAGATAAACCACTTGGCATAAACTGTAATCAGCCAGTTGCAAAAGCCTGGGACCAAAGAAACACCCACCCTGACCACCCTGACTTCTTCTCAAAAATTTTCCACTCTCCTTTCCCTGCTCCCCCTCCCTGCCTGAAATCCTGCTTATAAGCTGCAACATACTGCCAATAAACGAGACCTTGACACGACTCAGACTGACTCTGTCTTTCCTTATGTGCCTGGTCTCCTTCTTCTCTCGCCCCCATTGGCTTTCAGGTGGTTCCCTCCTCGAGACCCTCGAATAACCTGACCTGCTGGACGGGTCAGGCAGGCATGTGCCTGAGAGCTGACATCATGATGTACAGGCAGACAGGCATGTGCCTGAGAAATGACATCATTATATAGAGGCAGACAGACAGAACTAGAGAGAACATGGGCCTTGTATGGAATTTGGAAACCTCAAAGTTCACCCCTAGCAGCACATTTCCTCCAATAAGGTCACAAATCCTAATCCTTCCAAACACCTCTTCAACTGGAACTCAAGCATGCAAAGACACTGGCCTATGTGGACCAATTCCATTTAAACAACCACATGCTCCTAGGTCCCAGATTTCATGAAGAAACAGGCAAAACACATACACACACCCCTCTCATATGTGTACACTATACACATGCATGCTTTTGAACTTTGTCTCTAAATCTGTCTCTAACCTTTGCTGGTACCCTATAGACATGTCAGAGCAATAGCAGATGGCAATTAATAATCAAGGTGTCAGCCCACCAGAAGTTCAACTCTTTGATGGGATTGTCTTGCTCAAGCAAGGCTTGCAAGAAAACAGACTCCAGAATATATTTTCTTCTGTGTCCCTGCATGCTTGCTGCTGTATATGGTATTGGGAGTCTTCCACTGCCTATATTTTAATGTGTTCATCTCATGAATGTATCCCATGTACTGGACACATTTATATCTTTGGGTTGTTAGGAAGTTGATTTCTTCTTGAGCTGTATAATTTTGGTGAATAGAAATAATATTAGGATATTTTCATAACTAGGTCTATTGTTCCACGAGGACTGTCATATACTTAGGACCTGTTCTATACCATAGCTCAGGCTGATATTGGAAAATTGTTGTATTTCCAGTTACTAAGAAAGCTGTATACTATCAGCTGGTTTTAGGCTTCAAAGTAACTTCAAATTAGACCAGGTGCCTTGCTAATGGGTTTTAAGATAAACATTTCCCAGGGAAAGCAGTCTAATTCACAAGGACAAAATAGCAGCTGCCTGATTTGTTGAACCAAGGTTACAGGTACATAGCAACATAATTACTATGCCAGTCTCTCTTGCTAAGTCTGGCTGATATCATAGGCCAGTGATTAACTCTCTGCACAAATTCCTAATCTCAGTTTTATGATACAGGCATACACCTGAAAACTCAAAGTTCAGCCAACTAACTGTTTTTATGTTGAGTCCTAAAATTGCACAGGTGAAAAAGAGTTAGAAGTTTCCTTTTTATGATCTAAAGTTACAAGCAGGACAGAAAAATATATTTCAAGAACTAAAACACTTTTAATGTCACTGTACCTTGGAAAATGTCAAGTAGGCTTATATTAGGAGATTTAAGGTAAACCTGAGTTCCAACCAAAGCATTTAGTACAGAGACTTCAAGAAAGCCTGACATTCCTCCTAATCACAAAATGTTACTTTAAAATTTGTCTTACACTCAGAAATGTAGGATAGTTGATGATTTTTTTTATTTTTCTTAGACTCCTCAATAGTTTAGGTTTATAACTGTTCTAAAATCTTTTATAAGGCTATTTCTCTAAATAGATAACAATGACCAGTTCTTTCTTTATGCTGCAGCTGCAGATTATAACCACACCAATTAGAAAGCTAAGATTTACAATAAGTGTGTTGTTGTAGGGATGACTCTATTTCGTATCAAATAAAATGTGACCTTCAAATGTAACTTTTGTATTACCTGAAGATTTATGTTGGGTATATTTAGTTATGTAGAACAAAGAAAAAGAGATTCAGTGTGAGAGAACAATGAAAGTAAGCTTTAACATGGATTTGAGTTTTTTCCCTATTCCTTAAAAATCCCTCCAATAAAAAAAAAGTCTTAGCTGTGCAACTCTATGGATTCCTTGCAAGCCCTGTGTTCAGCCTTGGAGCTTGTTCTCCTAGGCTGCAATAAACCATTCCCTTCTCTGTATCTCCCTTTTCTCTCCTCTGCTTTCTCTCCCAATACCCTGAGCTGAATTGTCATTGTTTCTTTTAATTTAAGAGTTTTGGTTTATGGACACAGGGTCTCATGCATGCCAGACTGGCCTTAAACTCATTATGTAGCTAAAGATCACCCTGAATTTCTCATCCCCCTGACTTCATGTGCAGGAATTGCATGGGTTGTGTACCACAATGCCCAGGATATACAGCCTGGGCCTCAGGCATGAAAACCAAGTCCTCTACCCTCTGAGCTACAGCTACATCACCAACATCACCATTTTCTGCATGTGTGTATGGCTCTCTATTTCTGCATTCAGGTCTCTGCCCTGCTCCCCATCCTTCTTTTCATCCTGCTCTCAAACTCCTCGCCTCTCCATGTTGTCTCCGCTTTTCTTCCTGCCCTAAAACACTCACTCCTTTGCTCACAGAGCAGCCCCCTCTACCCTCTGTCCTGAATGCTCCTCTTATCCCACCCACTGACCTGGCTGGAGAATGAGCTGTATAGTGAGAAGGTCTGATAGATCAGGTCCAGGAGGTGAAGGAACTGGCAGTCTTTGTAGTCAAAGCGCTCTCCAAAGACAATGGAGCAGATGATGTTGGCTGTGATGCACTGGAAGAGGAAGGTGGGGTCCATGGGGGTTCCTGAAGGAGGAGAATGCAGGACAGGAGGCAGAGGATAAAGAACCGGGGAACATTTGGCTTCAGCCCCAGCTCTGTGAGGCTGCCCCCACCACTCAGTACTCTAAGAACAGCAACAGTGGCTACCACATTTGCACATATGAAATACATATGAGTCTAGGCCCTTCACTTAGAAATGTATACATCATTTTAGTTAACTTCCCTCAATATGGTAGAGAATATGGAATGCTATTCATATACATGGAAAGGAAAGCTACCTTCACCAAGGCAACTTAGCTATCATTGTTGGGACTAGGATACTAGGATGGAGAGAAGAGTGTATATATTCAGTCTCCACCCTGTACCTCCTCCCAGGACAACATTTGGCTCTGAGCTGATACCTAACTCCCACTGGCAGGAATGGTGCAGAGAAGGATTCAGGGAATGCCTGTATGAATTTCCAGTCCCTGAACACTGCATGCCAATCTGCCATTCTTTCTTTGACTTCTGGGCTCTGTGGTGTTCCAGAAGCCATCAGCACCTGCTGCCTGGAACCTTCTTATGTCAGGTTCAGTCATGGACCCTGCTGGTTGGAGGACTGTTGTCTGTCCAACAATATTGGGCCACCATTGCCCCTCACCCTGGGGCTGGCTTGACTGTGGTCTGATCCCATGTAAATCTACGAGAGGAGATCTGTGCCAGAGGAGCACCAGGTGGCAATTGGAGTCCAAGGTGTCAGCCCACCAGGAGAAAACTCTCTGATAGGTCAATCTTGGTTAGGCAGGGCCACAATACCCCAGACCTCAGAATGTTTTTTGATTCTGCTGCTCCTTTACATGTTCCCACTGCTGTCTTCCTCTGGTATCTGGTGTGGTGTTAACAGATGTGTTGAGATCCACAATGCCTGTATTGTAGTGTCTATATCCCATGGAAACATCTCATTCTACTGGGCATTTTTATCTGTGGATTGTCATGAAAATGATTCCTACCTAAACTGTACTCTCAAATTGATAATAATAATAATGATAGTTTATATAGAGTTTTGATGAATAAAAATAAATACAAGGAAATATTACACAGTTAGGGCTTATGAGTTTTACAGCTAAGGCCTATCAGTTCTACCTAAGGACTGCTTTAGATCACAGTTCAGGATAATGATTAAGGAAAACAATTGAGTCACCAGGATCTAGGCTGGCTCTAATTCTCTTAATGCTGAAAGATACAGTAACAGTTTTCTGTGTCCACCTTTAGCTCAAACAAAGTTTCTTAATAACTTCAAGTTAGACCAAATGCTCTGAGAATAGTTTTAAGATGAAAAACCTCAGAAAACAATCTAAAGTTCACAAGGATACACAGCTGAGTTATAGATTCATTATGCTAATATAAAAAATACAGAGCAGTCTGATTGTTGCTAGCTGAAGTACTTTCCTGGCTAGGTCTGGTTGGTGATCAAAGGTGATGACTAATTCTTTTCACCCACTCCTGACCTCAATTTTCTGATATAAGAAACTATTTATAAATGGGTATGTACACTCAGGATTCATAGTTCAGCTGACTGCTGGTTTTTATGTAAAAAAGTTTAGATTTGATTTACAACTCCTTTAAAATTCCTTATAAGATTATCTTTCAATATAGATAATAAAGTGGTTGATTCTTTCTTTGTAACAGCAATGTGAAGCCTGCCAACAAAAGAGTTAGCTGAGAACAAATGGTCCTTGCTTGCTAATAGCCTATTAACCTGTAACAAGTTTCTTAGATGTAATATATGTGAGTTATTCGGGTGATTCTCTTTTTATTCATGTAAGGGAGATAAAAAATGTTTTTACATATACTCATTATAATCATTCACTTGAATAATGAAATGTAACCACATTATGAAGTCAGTATTGCCTAAAAGACTTTGTTGGGGGAATAAAATCTGTAGAGGCAAAGAAGAAGATGAAGATGAAGAAGAAGGAGGAAGAGGAAGAGGAGAAAGAGGAGGGGGAGAAGAAGAGGGAGAAGGAGAAGAAGAAAGGAAACCATCAAGAATGTGTGTGTGTTTTCCCCTAACCTCCTCAGATAAAAAAGTTCAGTGTGCTGAGGCTGCGGATTTCCCTTCAAGTCCTGGGCTTCCTGGTGCTGTGGGATGGTCTGTATGTCAAATGTGTGCTTTGACTGGTCAATAAATAAAACATTGATTGGCCAGTGGCCAGGCAGGAAGTATAGGCAGGACTAACAGAGAGGAGAATTGAGAGAACAGGAAGGTGGAGAGAGACACTGCCAGCCGCCGCCATGACAAGCAGCATGTAAAGATGTTGGTAAGCCACGAGCCACATGACAAGGTATAGATTTATAGAAATGGATTAATCTAAGATGTAAGAACTAGATAGCTAGAAGCCTGAGCCATTAGGCCAAACAGTTTAAATAATATGTCTCTGTGTTTACTTGGTTGGGTCTGAGCGGCTGTGGGACTTGGCAGGTGACAGAGATTTGTCCTGACTGTGGGCCAGGCAGGAAAACTCTAGCTACAAATGGCGCCCAACGTGTTGGCAAGAGTTTCCACCTAAAACCTGAGAAAAAAGATTCTAAAACAGAGCTAATAACAGTTCCTAGTTGTTTCTCTCAAGTTAGTGACAGCCTGTGTGTTTGAGCTACTATGGGGGGTTGCTGGCATGTGTGCTCGACCTGCAGTATGGCAGGAATGAGGCCTCTACAAGTGGCACATTAAGCTGCGTGGTGGATTTAGCCTTTGCTAGTACAAAACAAAAAGAGGTTTCTGGGCTACACACTGCTTTGATAGAAGCATAGACCCACTATTTCTGAGAGTTGATGGCCCCCAGAGCTGGTGGAAAATGTACCGCCATGTTGGGAAGCTGAAGTGGGCGGAGCCAGCAGCCACAGCACCATTTCAGTCTTAAAATGCTGCAATTTAAACAATAGGCTCAAGGTAATATAAAAAATAAGCCACGTAAGATGGCTACCACACAGAGAATCTGGATTATGTTCTCTTTGATATTCATAACTGAAGAAAAATATTTGATTGCAAAAGCTGTTGAGTTAGGCCAAAATGTATATTTTAAAGGTACCTTGACTTCAAAATTTGGATGAAAGGATATGTTGCTTTGGAAAGGAGGCTCTGCTTTTGTTTCCACAGAAAGCCAGAGGTTATGGATTTGTTCCAGATTAAGATACATCAGGTTTGACCAGCTAAGACCCCCTGAAAGGTCTCTGATGACACCAAGGCTCAGATGATCCAACATCCAGAACTGTTTCAAGGCAACTGGCTCAGACAATACAGTCTCATGGACTACTCTATAATCCTAAAATTTTCTTTGTGTCCCCATAAGATACAGCACCCCCCTCAAGCAGGAAGTAGTAAGAGAAGCTATGCCCAAATTCCCAAATATACCAAGCTGGCTTTGGAGATGTGTAAAAGTTAAAACCTTCCTTTAAAAAAAAAAAAGAAAGAAAAGGGGAAGTGCTGTGGGATGGTCTGTATGTCAAATGTGTTGCTGATTGGTCAATAAATAAAACACTGATTGGCCAGTTGCCAGGTAGGAAGTATAGGCAGGACTAACAGAGAGGAGAATTGAGAGAACAGGAAGGCAGAGAGAGACACTGCCAGCCGCCGCCATGGCAAGAAGCATGTGAAGATGTTGGTAAGCCACAAGCCACATGACAATCCACTTATAAAAATGGATTAATCTAAGATGTGAGAACTAGATAGCTAGAAGCCTGAGCCATTAGGCCAAACAGTTTAAATAATATAAGCATCTGTGTGTTTATTTTATAAGTGGGCTGTTGGACTGCCGGGGTTTGGCGGAACCGGAGAGAAAACTGCAGCTACACCCTGGATAGCACCCAGATAGCGATATAGATCCCTCCCTGGGGCTCATCCCCTTCACTCTCAGCCTTAGAGCTCACTTCTCCTCCTTTGGGTCCCTCCTTCTCTGACTGCGTTCTCCAGTCAATCTTCCCAGCCTCTGCACCTTTCTTCCCTCCTGCCTCTGCCCTGACCTCTCAGATCTCCAGAGAAAGGTCAATAAGGGACGGCAAATGTTCCGTGTATAGAAATGGAGGTACAAACAACAGTCATGTCACCAATACGCCCTTGATGTAAAGACCCCTCAAGTCCCCAGAAGTGCCTCTGAGTTCACCCAGAGTCAAACTCCCATCAGCCTCTGTGCTCACTGCTGCTCACCAGCACAACCACAAAGAAGAAAACACAGTTCCCTGCTTAGAATTGTGTGTGGCAGCCCAAAACAGTTTGACTACACAGCTGCCATGACAGGCTTAGAGGCCGAGACACAGCTTCAGGCAGGCAACACCTCGACCCAGGAAAAGCCATAAGCTGACCCTCCCCATTGGGGCCTGCATCTAAGAGGAAAGTTCTGACATTCCAAACAATTCCTATACCCCTAGACAAATGTCAGCCAATCAGGGTCTCCTCACCCCAACCTCTTCTATGATAAAAAAAAAAACCCACTCTACCTGGGCTTGGGGCTCTCTGCTCTCACTGCTGCATCAGACAGAAAGCCCAAGTTCCAAGCTTGAGAATAAAGGCTGCTTTGTTTTTATATATGGGATTTGGTCTCTGGTCTCTGTGGTGGTCTTTTTGGGGTCCTCATGGTCTGGGCATAACAGAACATGTCTGCAGTTCTTCCTGCTTCCATCCTTCTCATTTAGCTAGAGTCTGTATTTGTCTTTGATAAGAACATGGGGGGGGGGTGACAAGAAAAATTAAGCCGAAGTGACCTTGAACTCCATGTTCACTAAAAGATGGCTTTGGAAATCTCAGCCTCCTGTCTCCACCTCTGAAGTGCTGAGATTATAAACATGTATAATTATGATTATGCCCTCTGAATGTGATGCTAGAAGCAACCTACACTCAGCCACAGTCACATCAAAGGCAGGGCAATCACAATGTAGATAGGACTAGCCTTGAACTCATGACCATCTGAGTTCTAAGAAAAAGAGTATGCACCACATAACCAATTGACATACACAATTAATTCACAGATTGATTTTCTGAAGAAACATAACCACTACGGTCAGTATATGTTTCTGAGTCATATTGGGCACAATACACCTCATGTTTCTTCCCTGCCCTTGTATTTCTCTCTCTTTCCACCTCTGTCCATATCTCACCCTCCCCATACTCTCTGTCTCTGTCTCTTTCTCTGTCTCTGTCTGTGTGTGTGTGTGTGTGTGTGTGTGTGTGTGTGTGTGTGTGTGTGTCTGTCAGTCTGTTTCCCTTTTTATTTACCCTTATATGTCTGTTTCTCTTTCTTTGGTTGTGCACTCAGGTCTCTGTATCGTCATCTTCCTTTATGCCCATTCTCAGAGACTCACCCTGGGATTTCTGCAGCTCCTCCACCAGACATCGGGCCTCCTCCTTTATCCGCTCCTCCACACTTCGCTTCCCCATCCCAAAGTCCTTCATGGTGGCCACAGAGAATCGCCTAAGGGCCTTCCAGCGTTCTCCATTGGCAAAGATCACACCTAAGAAAGTAGGGGAAGCATGAGTAGGTTACACTGGAAGGTTGGAGAAACTGAGTCCTTCAACACAGCTCGGGCTCCACCTTCCTGGACCACATCCTCCACTCCACACTGTCCCATATCTCACCATATCCCTGTAGAATTGGCTCAACCACAGCAACTGTCCCCCGGCCAGAGAAAGCCTCAGCTTGGTCCACCAGAGCCTCCCTTATGGCCTTTGTCCCACACAGCATGACCACAGGCCTTGGTCCCAGGTGCACTGTGAACACATCTCCATATTTTTCTCGAAGCTAACAAGCACAAGAGTTGTGGTTAGTTAACACAAGCATTGTTGTTACACTGTGAAAACACTCAGGCAAAGATTGGTGAATAGACACCTCCTCCTCTGGCCACCCTTCCCCTTCTAGGGACCTAAGAGTTGAAGGGTTAATTCACCACATAGTCTGCACTGATTGGTTGGACTTCCTGATCAGTACAGCAGTACTGTAGAGTAGGGAGGAAGGGCAACTCATGTTTATAATCCTAGCACTGTAGAGGTAGAGGCCAGAGAGTCATTAGTCATCCTTGGCTACACATCTGATTAGAAGCCACCTTGGCTACATATAATTCTGTCTCAAAAAAACAAAACAAAACAGATAGAGATATGGATGCAACAATTCATGTAGTTCCATGACCTTACCCTATAGTCTGGCCAACTGAACCATGCTTCCTGTAACTCAGTGACAACCTGTCCAATGCCTTCTCACAATGTTCTAGAGAATGGTCCTGACCTACCCACTGGGTTACATGGGAAGGGAAAGTGATAGTCACCTGGTGGTGGACCTGAATGTGAGTCATGACTACAGCACACACAGTTGGAAAATACCTGACAATGCAACCATCTGGGCATCTACAGGGAACTGATCCCAGGAATGTCACAACCCTCAAGGGCTGAAAGCCCTTGAAGAGAATGGTGCAGTGTTTGCACATAATCCACATCGTCCTCTCATAACCTTTAACTCACTCTAGATTGCAATGCAGCTAACAGAAATGAAAGCCTATGAAAACGGCCAGTTTCCAGTGTTGTTTAGGGGATCATGCTAAGGAAAAGCTCTACACATGTTTGATATTGACCTATTTATGTTTTTAGGCCAGGTCACAACATTGAATCTTAAGCAACAATGAGTTATCAACACACAGATAAGATCAAAGATATTTTATGAAACTTGGAGGATCATGAGATTGTCTCAAAAGTCAAATGAAAGTAAAGGACTACACCAATGATCCAATGATCCAGATGGGTGTTCTGTTAAAAACCAAAGGGGAGCAGGAAGTTGGGATTGTTGCCACTAAATAAGCTCTCTAAATGGGAAGTGAGGCCAAGGATGATAAATGATTATTAATAAACAAGTGGTAATTGAACATGAAATCTCCCCTCTGAAGACTGGGAAAGATGGTGTCTGGGTTAGTTGCTTGGATGGTCCATGGTGTTTTAACTAATAAGCACTCCCTACCTACCCCACCTCATGACATGCCTCTCCTCCCCTTTGTTCAGGAACAAGGCAGGCTAATCCCTTGTGCTGGCAGAAGCAAACTTTATCTGTTGATGCCTCTGACATCTTTCTTTCTCTTTGGGAACAAAGAAGCATCAAAGCGGAAAATTGTAAACCCTTGGCACACACCTTGACACCCCGACACTTTTCACATTCCAAGCACAGTGACCCACACAATTCAAACCTAAGGAGGACTCTCCTATTGATCTGGACACCATCCATCACCAATCAGCATCTCAGCTTTCATCCAGTGACCTTCCCACCTGAACCTACAGCCTAGAAGAAGTCCCTTGCTCCTCTCTCTGAGTGATCTCCAGGAGCAAATATGGGTCTAAACCCATAAGGCACAGGCCCTGTGCATGTCTCACCTGCATAAAGGAGTTGAGAAGGCCTCTTCTGTCCATCTGCAGGAGGTTCCCCAAGAGGGGCAGGGGACGCGGTCCTGGAGGTAGGTGGCCACAGGCTTTCGTGTGGCCCCTGACCAGGAGTAGCAAAAAGCTGATGAGAAGAGTGAGGATGAGCAGGACACTGGGCTCCATGGTCATGGTCTGATGACTGTATATTCCACTGCACACTCCATCAGAACCTTTTATGCCAAACCTGCCTGTCCAACCAGTTGAGCAACTTCAACTGTTCCCGCCTCCTATCTTGTCATTGTCCAGGAGTGTGAGCAGCCATACTTCCTGCTTGGGCTGCTGATGACCTGCTCACTGTCTAGTCCATAGATGCTACCAAGAACAATGAAACAGAACACAGGACAAAAGAACATTGGGAGTAATGCAACTTGATTTCTGGGGGTGAGTGTGCACTTGTCAGCTCAGTTTTCTCTGTTTATTTACTCAGGCATGGGCCTGTGTGTGCACTGCATATGTAAAGGGATATTTCTTATGTGAATGTGCATGTGTATGCTTTTGTGTGTTCCTGAAGGAGTGTGTGTGTGTGTGTGTGTGTGTGTGTGTGTGTGTGTGTGTGTGTGTGTGTGTGTATTGATTGGTTTTTCAAGACAGGGTTTCTCTGTGCAGCTCTGGCTGTTCTGGAACTCACTCTGTAGACCAGGCTCGCCTCAAACTCAGAGAACCTCCTGTCTTTGCTTCCTGAATACTGAGATTAAAGGTGTGGCCATGACATGTGGCTCAGCTGCCCTGCCTTCCTGCCTTGAAACTGACCCCAAATAAATAAATCCTTCCTCACACTTGCTTTTGTACAGATATTTTACCACAGTGACAAAGCAACTACTGCAGAAAATCAGTGTCAGGGGAAGGTTGTTATATGATTAAACTCACATTTTAGTTCACTGTTTGAAATTCTTTGTTAGTTTGGGTCCCAGCTTTGACATGGGAAGGATCACATATCAGTATCAAAAAAGAAATCCATATGGGAGAGAGAGAGAGAGACAGAGCCTGGCTATTTAGCCCAATCTAAATAACTTGCTACCACTGGTCACCCTTCCCTTCAAGTACTCTACAACTCCCCAAAAAATGATTTCCAACTAAAGACCAACTGATCAAATAAGTAAGTTCATAAGGAACATTCCACAACCAAAACATAATGTAAAGGCAAAGCCTGAAACAAATTTTAAGCATCTTATTTCTTCTTTTGTTGCTTTATAAAATTAATTTGTATTATAAGACATAACACAAAGAAATTGATCAGATCTACACTCTATACATCTCAGCGAACATCTATTCATGTAGAATAGGCATTATGAAGCTGTAGAGCTGCATGTTGTCATTTTATTCTTTTTTAATTTTGATTTTATGAGTATGAATGTTTCATCTGAACATATATATGTTTAGTACATGCATGCCTGGTGCCCAAGAGGTTAGAAGAGGTCACTGTATGCTCTCAAAATTAGAGTTTTAGATGGCTGTGAGCCATCATGTAGGTACTGGGAACTGAACCCAGGTCCTCTCAAGAAACAGCAAATGCTCTTACTTAACTATTGAACCACCTCCCCAGTTCACATCTCACTTCTTTTTTTTGTTTTTTGTTTTTTGTTGGTTTTTCGAGACAGGGTTTCTCTGTGTAGCTTTGCGCCTTTCCTGGAACTCACTTGGTAGTCCAGGCTGGCCTTGAACTCACAGAGATCCGCCTGGCTCTGCCTCCCGAGTGCTGGGATTAAAGGCGTGCGCCACCACCGCCCGGCTAATCACATCTCACTTCTTAATGCAGTTATAATGGCATTTAAACTTCAATTTTAGAAGGAATATTCCATAGTTAGCACTCTGCTCTCCTCCCTTAAAAAATAACTCATCCTGTTCTATCAAATAAAAGGCATTTATTCTATCCAATGCCCCAAACTTTAAATTAAATTAAAACCTTTCCCATAGTCCAACCCTTATTTTACCAACTTTGTTAGTCATCATTCAATTGTAAACCACAAACTAGCATAAATCTGGAGAGCTAATGTATACACACCAGGGTCAACCTGAATCTATGTCTGTGTCTTGGAAGAGAACCTTCATTCTCTATGGCAGGAGATTGTGTCTTACCTTGACATTTTGACAAAAGAAGTGATGACAGATGAAGAACCTGGAAGGATGTGTTGAGTCATCCTCAGGAAAGAGGAAGAAGGAGAGAAACTGAAATAGAGCCAGCCATTCTGACAACACTGACATCTACAGAGCTACATACACATTCAAGGGCAAAACCTTCTGGAGATGGGCTCGGTTGATAGAATACATTCCGTGCTTACATATCAACTTGGATTTCACATTCATATCTGCATCAAGTGAATGTGAAAATGAACAGATACAAGTTCAGGACTCTGAAGGTCATTCTTGACTCTATAAGAATCAGATTCCAGTCACAGACCTTCCAAAATTATTTCAAACCAAGAAATTACTGTTATCAAAGACCCAAAACCATCAACATCACTTACCCCTCATGTATGTCAGCATTATTGTGGACCAGTGACAAAGGATCACCCATGTAGTTTGTTGCAGTATCTCCGTATTTTCTTCCTGGTTACAATGAAGGGCCCAGACCTCACAAGGTGATGTTAGCGATGGGTCCTTCCTCTCACTGGATCACATGCCTCAGTGTTGTCTGGGTCTCATCAGGGAAGAACTCAAATTTGAACTCTGTGGTTTCTCTTGACCATCTCTCACATACCCTTCCCTGAGGGCCCTGTCCCAGCTTTTCTGAGAACCATCTCAGCTTTGGACTTATGAGATTCACAGGCTCTACGCAAGCAAATGCTGCTCTTCTAATGCAGACAATGGAGTGTCCAGCCCCTTGATAGCCCTCTCCCAGAGTCCAGGAAGAATCTACAACCAGCTGATAATCTAATCTTTGATGACACTAAATTAATCCATGTATTCGAATCTCTTAGTTCATTCACTTTATTTTTCTGAGTCAGTTCTTTCTCTACATGGCTTCTGTTCTGTTCTCATACTCAGCTCCTCTCTATCCCTTCTCTTCCTGTCCTCTCATTTTCCTAGTCCTAACTAAGCTCTTCCCATCTTGACCTCATCTTAACTCCGTCTGTTCCTCCATCTGTCTTCTTCCCTTCCTCTTCTACTCTCCTGACCCAACTCAGTCCACCTACAATCTTCAGAACCTCTGCCTTGCTGCTTTCTCCTCTGGCTGGGCCACACTGCTCCAAGCTGGGAAACCTGCCCCATTCTGTCCCTTCACCTGGTATGCAAAAAACCCTTTTGTTCTGGGTCAATTGTTCTGGAATGCCACTTCCTGTGAGAGGAAGGAGGGTCTGAGCTTTCAAAAGAAACAAAGCTATGCACCTAGCCTCACCTGTCTCCTAGGCAGTATCTCCAGAAGGGTGTTTACCTTAATTCAGGAGACTGTTTGCTGTATGGCCTAGGATGCTTGAGAAGTATTTCAGGTAAAATACACCATTAAAAGTTCTTGGGGGCATACATAGCATACAAGAAAATCATTGCAGGAACAGGCTAATGTACATACAAAAGCTAAAATATCACCAAGACTCCTTAAGCCATGGATTCACCTCTGGAAAACTCCTTGACTTCCCAGGTAGTAGCTTTTGTCTTAGTAGCTGAATTCCGCTACATTTTCCTGAGACTTTCAGCACTCTCCAGGATGGAGAGCAGAGTATGTCTACTAGTGAAAGACCCCCACCAAAGTCCCAGACACAGTCCCCCCAGAAACCCAAAGGAGCTGAGGGAACAAATATCTTAAAAATAAACAGAACTGAATGAGTTCCCCCTTCCTGGAGAGGGTGAAGTCAAGTGTTTTCAAAAGAACAAAGTCAGGATGTCTGGTGGTGACCAATTAACCACGAGATGCCCCTCTCTGGAGATAACATGACCAGACACTGGAGATGGGTTGTAAAACTCCTGACAGGGCAAACAGATAAGCTGAAATAAGACAAAGTCCAGGCCCAGGAAAAACTGGACCAATCAAGGATGGACCCGTACTAACCCCCTCCCCTCTAAGGAATTTTGTGGGTTTTGCCTATAAAAACTAACTTCCTCAAGAAAGAGGAACTCTCCTCCCTGCCTCTCGGCGTTGGGCGTGGTGGATGAGGGTTCCCTGCTAGCTAGAACTATGCACGCATGTGCGCTGGGTCAAATAAACCTTGGTATTGCATTCTGGACATCTTTGGTCTCCAGTGGTCTCTTTGGGGGTCCTAATCTAGACAGAACATCCAGCACCTATCTCCCTACCTACCTTCCCACTGTTCCTTCTCATAAGAATTCTAAAAGCTTCTCTAGTGCCACAGCACAGCTGGAAGAAGAGAATTCTCCCAGCTGGAGATGTCTGTTGAACCATGGACTTGCAACTTTTTGTTGCCTGTGAGCATCACTTCCTTCCTCCCACCTCCTGCTTCCTCACTTTGACTTCCTCCAATCTCACTCCTTGGAAGAGTTTGAATAAGTTCATGAGGTGTGTTTGCAAAAACGTTCTCCAGCAAAGGGAGAAGCCTTTGCCCAGGAAAGAGACAGTTCTTGAGCAGGTGCTACCACAGATCCAGAGTAGCAAGATTCAAAAGAAGCCAGAGTGCTGTCGTCCTACATTAGCATGCTGTAATTCCCATTTTTCTTGAAGGACAGACTGCTCTGTTTGCTGTCCTATTTCTTGGTTGGTGGAAGAGAGTGAGCCAGGAATCTACCTTGGCAAAGCTCCTGGTAACTCTTTCTAGGCTACAATGATCTTGGTGACTCAGGTGGAAACTTAGTATCTCAGAGGTGAGTTGAGAGTTGCCTGCTGATTGGCCAAAGGCTGCCCAGAGACACCTTCCTAGGTGGTGATGTTTAATAAATGACACTTCCCACAAACACCTGCTTGTCCCAGCAGTGTGGTGTGCAGAGGCTGAGTTTCAGGGGACACTGCTCAAAGGGTGGCTCCCAGACACTTCTGTCAGAAGGTGACAAGACAGCAAGAGCAGATGACTCACAGAACTGGGTCAGTCTGGAGACTTGGGGACGAGGATTTACTCGGGTCATCTGAAGGCAGTGACAGATAACAGAGAGTATTAGGGTCCAGCCACTTGGTAGCCTTCTCTCAGGGTCTGTGGATGAATCTACAACCATCTGATAATCTAATCTTAGATGATATGAAATGAATCTATGTACATGAAACTCTTTAGTCCATTTACTTTATTCTTCTGAGTCAGTTCTCTGTCTGCACAGCTTCTTTTCTCTCATGCCTAGCCCCTTTCCTGGCTGATTCTCTCTACACTTCTGTGCTATTCCCTCTAAGTGCTATCTTAATTCCTTCATCTAGTTCTGCCTCATCTAGGTTCTCATCCATCTAGTTCTTTCCCATCTTAGCTCCTCTCCCACCTCCTTTTTCCATCTGTTCTTCCTCATCTTGTTCTTTCCCACCTGGCTCTTCCTCATCTTCCATCTCATTCTTCTAGTTCTCTCTTCTAGCCTTTTAATCTAGTTCTTCTTAAGTCTCTGAGGTTTACACATGCAATAGCAATGTTCTGGCTATGGCAAGGCCACCAGGCTTGAATTCCCTCAGGGTCAAAAGGAGGGGCAATAAGATCCACACAAAAGAGCAGTAATTGTCAGGCATCATCTGCAACCCAAAAGGGAATTGACTAATGGGGAATGAATCAACTGAGGGCTAACTTCAGTTAGTAGATCAAAAAGGGACATTCATGTGCTCAGCTATATTCTTAGAAGTGGTTGGGTAAAGTGTCAGGAGTCTATCAGTGATGAGTGAAAATAAAACTGCCTTATTTTCCTTTGGCTCCTTATCTGTCCAAGCTAACTCAGCTGCTGCTGTTTTCTGGCAAGGGGTGGGGTAAGTGCACTTGGTGGCTAGGTACCCTGAGTCACAGCTAGATGCACCTGGTAATTGTAAATAGGAGATCTGGAACTAGAGATAAGATTTGGAAAAAGAGAAAGTTAAGCTTAATTAGCACATCCACCTAGCATGGGCAATAGTTCTTACAAAGTCTGGGAAGTTTCTCAGATAGAATACTTTCATCCAGACATGGTTCTGGCCAGATGTTGCTAATGACGATAATTACAGAGAGGCTTAAAATTGGGTGTCTGTCTGTCTGTGTTGATGCTTTAGCACAGTTGGGGAAGGTTGTCCCAATATTCCAATAGCATAGGGGAAATTGTGCCCAGTGAACGATCAACACACTGTTCTAGAAATGGAGAAGGTACAATAGCATGCAAGAAATTCATTGCAGGAAAATGGCTAAATATTCAAGAGCCAATATCACCAAGACTCCTTGAGCCTTGGCTTTAACTCTGGAAGATCCTTGACTTCTACCAGGCATTAACTTTTGCCGCAGTCAGCTGAATTCCTACTTCATATTTCTGTGGGTTCCAGCAGACAGAGATTAGGGAGACTGGCTCTGGCTGCACAATGGTGAGTTTAAAGAGTAACTAATTTTTTTCACGTTATTGAGTTGTTTATTTACTTATTGGTTACTCTTCCACCATATTAAACACCTGGCATTAGCCACCTGCTGTTCCAGGTTCTCACAACGGAGCAAGGAACAAGGAAGCCGGTTGTCCCGTCACAAACCTGGCCTGGATGTGATGGAGTTTGCAGACAGAAGCCCTTCTGAAAAGACACTTAGTTACCAGACAACCAAGAGGTTGTACGTCAAAGTAACCAGAAGGTCAGGGGACTGGGCATAGTGATAGCTGCACTTGAGTGTTGACTGGACTGTATCTGGCATCAGCTAGAACCCGAGCTGCTGGGCAGCATGTGAGGGATTTCTTAGATTCTTAGAAGCAGGAAGACCCACCCTAAATCTGGACCACACCTTTGGCTGGCAGAACACATGAAAGAAGGTAATTGTGCTTTTGGGTGAGAAAGATCATGAGAAAAGTCCACGAAGGTTTGTGACTGTGGCTTGCAAAGCACAGGAACGTAGATAATAGTGTGTGAAGTAACAGACACCAGACACAAAAGATCACACACTATGTGATTCTGTTACAAGAACTATAGATATTAGTCAAGTCTACAGACACAAAATTCAGCCATATACAGAGTCCATCAGCATAGACCATGGATCACTGGGAGCTGATACATGGGGACTGTGGTTGTTGGGAGTGATTCAGTATGAGATGTGGCCTCCTGAAGTCTCTCTGTTCACACATGAAAAAAAGCCATTTGATTGATTTCTCCAGTGTCATTCACAGGGCAGAAGAACACACCTCCAATTTTGCAGAAGCTGCAGTAAGAAGGAAGGAAGTGAGCAGTGACCCAGGGCCTGGATTCCAGCAGGTCTCTCAGAGGTAGAAAGATGGGGCCATTCTCAACAGGAGCGGGGAGGCCTGGCCACCACAGCCCAGTCAGTAGGCCAAGAAGCAGATCTGGTATGTTGGGGGAACTTTGCCAAAGCCACTCTCCTTGGGACTGAGGTCAATGTCCTCAGGAGCCATGGAACTGGACACCGAGAAGTTCTGGAGGATGGTGGTGAAGAAGAGGAACAATTCGTTGCAGGCAATGCCTTCACCAAGACAAATGCACTTTCCTTTGGGCACAGAGGATAAGCCATGTGAGCCCCAGGGCAGTATACAACCTTTAGACAACTGTCCTAACCCTACACCCAGAGAACCTTGCTCATTGCAAAGAATAAGAATGGGTCACCCAGAGTCCCGTGTCTAGGACCTAGGCCCTAGGATGCAGCCAGTCCCAGGGAACCCCAGACATTGCTGCCAAAAAAAAAAAAAAAAAAAAAGAGTTTCACCCTCAACCTGCAGTTCAAAAAAGTTAAGAGATTCCCAAAACCTTACAGAATTGGTCCAAGGGCCAGTGTGTCTTTTTAGCATGGAAAGGAGCCTGCCATCAATCCTGAGGACAAGAGTTCAATCCCCTATGCCCATATATTGCAAGGAGAGACCAATCCCCATAGTCTGTCCTCTGACAAACACATACACACTCACCATAGCACACATAAATCAACCATAAAATGTAGGACAATTTGTTGGTGAATGTCTTGTCATTACTTCTGACAGATTTCTAGCTTTTGTTAGATTATCAATGTCCTTTGTTACAAAAGTATAAGAACCCATTTAGAGTAGGAACCAAGTGTGTCTGTGTACACATGTATAATGCAACATCTTTAGTGTTCCCTCCTAGCTCATGTGAGAGGATTGGTACCCATCGCATAGGACTTCGCCCTGAGGGTGAAGGTACTGTTTACAAAAACTCTTAGATTAACAACTGGATGGTGTTAAGGGTCTTATATGAGCCAGACATGGAGGCACATGTGTGCAAGTACAGCATTTGGGAGACTGAGGCAGGAATTTGATGGACTACAGAGCATGGCTTCTCTGTTTCTCCCCTTTCTCTGTCCTTTCTGTCACTCATCCTCTCCCACAACTTTCTCTCTTTCTCTGTCTTCTCTGTCACTCATCCCCACCCCCACCTTTCTCTTTCTCTGTCCCCTCTGTCACTCATCCCCAACCCCACCTTTCTCTTTCTCTGTCCCCTCTGTCACTCATCCCCAACCCCACCTTTCTCTTTCTCTGTCCCCTCTGTCACCCATCCCCACCCCCACCTTTCTCTTTCTCTGTCCCCTCTGTCACCCATCCCCACCCCCACCTTTTTCTCTGTCTCTGTCCCCTCTGTCACCCATCCCCACTCCCACCTTTCTCTCTTTCTCTGTCCCCTCTGTCACCCATCCCCACCCCCACCTTTCTCTTTCTCTGTCCCCTCTGTCACCCATCCCCACCCCCACCTTTTTCTCTGTCTCTGTCCCCTCTGTCACCCATCCCCACTCCCACCTTTCTCTCTTTCTCTGTCCCCTCTGTCACCCATCCCCACCCCCACCTTTCTCTTTCTCTGTCCCCTCTGTCACCCATCCCCACCCCCACCTTTTTCTCTGTCTCTGTCCCCTCTGTCACCCATCCCCACTCCCACCTTTCTCTTTCTCTCTGCCTCCGTTGTTTCTTCAGATTGAGATGAATGAACTTCAGTAAGTTCCTGAACACAATTGTTCATATAATGGAGAATGGGCAGGAACACATGATAAGGGACCTACAGCACCCGCAGGATTCTGTGAGGTAGAAGAAGTCCTTGTTGGTTTGCCACCTCAGGCATGGAGCACCACAGAGCAACAGGAGCCTGAAAGACCAGGGAGAGGCTCTACCACCTGCCCTGTACCTTAATGATTCTTAATCTGCAGCTGGTTGCCTCAGGCCTCTAGGTGGAGGAGGGATTTCCCAGCACCCCTGTGCCCTCCAGTTGTTGGGAAATGGTAAATGTGTACTGGTATCTAGAGAAAGCACCCTATCGACT